TGTTTATTAACTAACCTAAATTAATATGAAAAGCATTTAATTAAGATACCTTATAGTTTATAGAGCGTCGGTGGCTCAGTGGTTTAAACACTTGACTTGTAATCTACAGGTCTTGGGTTCGAATCCCGCTGTGTACTAATGTACATAATTTACCCGACGTTCTTACGGTGAAGGAAAACATCGCGATGCAACGTGTACATATCGGCGAAGAAATTCAAAGATATGTGTGAAGTCAACCCGCAGTAGGCCAGCGTGGTTGACTATGGCATAGTCACCCCTTATTAGGGCAGGCTCCGAGCCCCTCGGTGGGGACGTATAGTGAGCTGGTGATGATGACCTTACAGTTAAAAGATAACCTCAGATAAATGCAGTAGACAAAACACTAAAAACATTTACCCGTTTATAGCGTTTTGTTCAATGTTTTACGCGTTGTGTTGTTTAATGGTCGAGATACGTAGTTGCTACTGAGTTACGAAAGAAAATGTATATTTGATGTCTTAATTCGTATTAAGTTTTTTAATGAATTCAAGATAAGGATGGCCAGCACTTTTATATGATGCTAGCATATTCATAACACTGGCAAGTAGATGCCAGTGAGACAGTGTTTCAAGCGAGGCTAGCGCAACTGTCTTATTGTGCTAGTATCATGTAAATTATGCATATCTTCAGTTAAGAAGATTATCTATCCAAGTAGAGACGTGGAAGAATTCGACAAATGGTGTAGACATTTATCTATACTACATGTTTTCTGTTCTTCTATATTCATATGTATACTTTTATACTAATATTATAAGGCGGAAAGATTTGTATTTTTATATTTTTGTATGTATTGAAATTACTCAAAAACTGCTGGACAGATTTTAAAAGTTGTTGCAACATTAAAAGCGACATTATTAGTAAGCAACGAATGCGTATTATTGTTTTTTTAACGCGGACTAAGTCGCGAGCATTAGCTAGTTTATAATATAAGTGACATTTACAAAAATACTGATTTAAAAAAATCTGTCCTCGTATCCTAGTAGACTTCATGGTAGATGCTACGATTCAAACAAGGCTTTCTTTTAAAAAAATTATAAATATGTGAAAAACATCGACCATTATAATTGGAAATAAAATTATATCGATACGAATATCACGGCCATTTTGTATTTTAGTACAACATTGGTTATTAAAGTTACAAACAGATTATTGTAATTTAAACTTTATACAAAGTGTTTATGACTCAGAATGCTTTGTAGTTTAAAGGTGGATATGTCGTATTGTTGTGTATGATTAGGGCATGCGAGCATAGTGTTGTGGCGCGAATTCGTCACGGATGCTTATCGAGCGAGCAGTCGATAGGGCAGCGGTGCGGCGGCATGTCGATGTTTTATTATTACAGGGAAGCTCTCTGTAATCACAACTCGAGCCGATGAGATCCCGTGGGACTCGACACGATGGTTACGTTTTAAACGACTATTTTTTTAATCACGTATACGTAATTAAATAAAAGTGATGTTCCGTACAACAATGACCAAAATATAATCTGATCTGAATACCACTTTGTAAGTTTTGAGTACGTTTTATCATTGCTATTGTGATTTTAAAATCGGTTTGAATAAAATATTATATATGAAGCGTTCTTTAAAAAGCATTGTGTATAAAATATTGATATAATTTAGCTGGTCTATTTAATGATACAGACGTTTTTAAAGTAAAAATAAACTATTACAATACTTGCATTAAGTTTAAGTACGCTTAAGTTAAAATGATGCCATTATAAAGACTGTTTACTTACTTGCAGATTACTTTCCAAACTTATTCAGTTAATTTAAAGGATTCCTTCCTTTAAAGTGTCGGCTTTGCCTTTTAAGAAACTGTCTTATACGTAAAATTTGATTTTTCATGAGGGTTAAAATTCGACGTAAATAACAAACAGTTTCTCTTAAATAGGCAAAGGAAAATGCATCAAGTCATTTTTCTGAGCGGCGTCGTGTTCCGCACATCAATGACACCGCGCCTTTGTGCCGAGTGCCAAGTGGCAACAATAATTAATTCTAAGCACAACATCTCGAATAACTTAAAAAAGCTCTCAGGGTGCGTTAGTCATTACTTGCATATTTTTTTGTACCACAAATGGTAACAATCATATTAGATTTTGTAGGAAAGTCTTTTAGTAAGTTTTTAAGAGACTTGCTTTTAATTGTTCCTGATTAATTTTCTTTAAAATACCAAAATTGTATTACGCTATGCTATAATTTAAATGTTTGCGTTACAAATATCGCCTTATAATTTTCACTAAAATCATAGAAAGTAACGTCAGAAACCCTTAAAATCGTTGAAATTAATGTCAGTTTTGTGAGTTATTTATGAATGTATATTATTTTAACTTACCTATAGTAAACCAGCCAATATTTTGATTAAATTATACAACAATAGAAAACTATTACATTTTTTTAAATTATCACACTAATGTTACAAATGCGAAAGTTTAGATGGATGGATAGATGGACGTTTGTTGTAGCCTAAATGGCTGAACCGTGGATAGTCTGGTAGAACACATAGGCAACTTACTTTTATTTTTCTAATTCCACGAGAGCGAAAGCTAATAGAGAATAAATCAAATTATTAAGATTTATCCCATATTGCATATTACAGTCTGTCAACATTATCGCAGATTTGGCATATTCGCGCCCTTCGGCCCGAGGCGGGGGTGATTTATGATAAAAAGCGGCCTTTTAATATCAACGAGCCTTTTAAATCCTGGCCCTTTGTAGATGCCGGCCTCGAGATAACCTAATTAACAAACGTTATATATCAATGGGCAGCCGAACAAACACGAGCTCTTATTTATCTGCCATTGGAAAGCTTCGTGTAGCACTTAATGGTTTTAATAAACTTTGCATTTATAACTTTTGCTCGTCCCTTCGTTTACGAAGAAAAAAAATCTAGTAGGCAATATAGCCAATGTTACCCAGTGACAATGTAGGTTCTGGTGCTATAAGAGTGTTTGAAGTCAGAAGAAAAAAAAATATTTTAAAAGTGTTAAAACCTGCTTTATCTTAACAAATATCATCTCTTACTTCTAAATTACCTCTTACTGAAATTGCTATCGTCCACGTGAAATTAAAAAATAATAACATAATGAAATAAAATATTTGCCTATGTTACTTACAGAAAACTTACCTTTATAATGGTTTCTAATTTCTTTAAATCGGCTTAGTAGTTATTGCGTGAATCAAATACATACAAAAATACAAATCTTTCCTCTTTTGATATAATATTAGTATAGACTAGATGTTGCTTGCGACTTCATCCGCGTGGAATAGGAAAAACAAAACCATAGCCTATGTTACTCAGTGATAACATAGCTTTTTAATGGTGCCAGAATTATTTAAATCGGCTGAGTAGTTTTTGAGTTATTTCAATACATACAAAAATCCAGAAATACAAATATTTCTTCTTTATAATATTAAATATACATAGATATAGTATAAGTAAAATATGTATGTATAAGGTTATTTTTGTAAATTTATTGATTAAAAAGTTTTAAGCAGATAATATTCAGTTTAAGTAACCGATAACGATGCAATAGATAATTGTTTACTTTATCTACTTCAGTTCCACGAAAAGATATTTTTTTAGATTCAACAAACATTGTCTTAAGTAAAACTAATTTATATCAATTTAAAAATAATGGTTGCTCTTTTCTTAAATACAATGATCATTTAGAAATCTATTACAAATACAATTTTCTTATTAATAGTATCAATATCGCGATAGGATATTAACAAAACAATCAAAATCGAATTAATTCTAATTCGAACAGAAAATCTGTTATTTGGTTGGCTAGTTGTCGAATGTCCATTATTTCTCTTGTGTTTTTGTGCTTCGTGGAGTGAAAAGTATTAACGTGAAAATTTATTGCCACGTTTGTATTGAAACAAATTGTTTTCTCTTTTGTCTTAGAGAATGAGAAGCATGAGAATATGTTTTTGAATAAGTGTTAGAGCAGTGTAAACGCTTGAGAGGTGGTAACATTTAGTTTCGGTTCAACCACCTCTTGTTCGCTTTAGCCTCTACAAACGGTACACTGTCTAAAAAACATAGATCGTGTCCAAAGATATTTTTTATTCACGTTTTTTGTCAAACTTTTCGATTCCATTATTGACCATGTCTATTTTCTCGCATTTTTTCTGGAAATGACATGAAAAATGCTTTATGTGTTTTTTTTTATTGCTGGATAGAATTAAAAAATGATAGATAAAAACGGACTTATCGAAAATATTTAACTTAGTATTAGGTATAGATACACTAACTAGTAGATTGTGTTATTTTATTTGGTACCTGGTAGCTGTAGTGATAGATAAAGGGCGATTTTACCTGTAGGAATTTAGAAATAAGTTTTGCGAAACTATTAGAATTAAAAAACTTTCAAAACGATTTAACATTTACAAATGAAGATCATTACTGCCCTTTTTAAAAATTAAGGCAAACGTATAAACATGTCATAAGTACCTACGCATATGTCCTATGGCCCCATTTTACCTCGTAGCGGCTTCATTCATCATCCGAGTCAGCGCTTTATTTAAAAGCGTTCTCTCACGGAACAAATGGTAAGGCACAAAACATCACACGTATCAATTATTCGCGGCCGTTTCATTTCGCCGGCGCAATTTATAAAGGTGAGATTTTTAATAACACTCATTCATCGTCGATTCGGTGTATAATTCAAATCTCTTTTTCTGTATCATCGTAATTTACATACGCTAAATAAAAAGCGGTGTCGTCACAAAACACATTCGGGCCCAATATAAACATAATATCAATTTAAATTCCTCGTTAGTGAAACGAAAGCCGACATCATACCTGAGCGAGGTAGGTCGCTATTGGCCCACTGCGCGGCCAATGAGCGCCGTCTTAGCGCCGCGCCGGGCCCGCCGCGAGCCCCCGGTACGAGCGGGCGGGCCCACCGCCGACCGCCGGTCTCACCCTGCCTCAGTTCCTCTTCACACCTCGTGTAGAAGTGACGTGACCCGTGTTCTTTGCTCACTATATAGATATAATAATCTGTTTTGAATTAATAACAACACAAGTGACTATGCCGCGACCGTCCCGTGAGTCTTATGGTGATCAAAAACCTCCCTATTCTTACATCTCTTTGACGGCGATGGCCATCTGGAGCTCTCCGGAGCGCATGCTGCCTCTATCGGAGATCTACCGCTTCATCACAGACCGATTCCCGTACTACCGGCGCAACACGCAGCGCTGGCAGAACTCGCTGCGCCACAACCTCTCCTTCAACGACTGCTTCGTGAAGGTGCCGCGACGGCCCGACCGGCCCGGCAAGGGCGCCTACTGGACGCTGCACCCGCAGGCCTTCGACATGTTCGAGAACGGCTCTCTGCTGCGCCGCCGCAAGCGCTTCAAGCTGCACAAGGGCGAGAAGGACAACCTCAACGCGGAGCTGGCGGCACTCGCGAGTTTCAACAGAGCGTTTCTGGCGCGACAAGCCGGCGCGCCTCCGCCACCTGTGCTGCCTTCCGCCAGCCTATACTCACAGACAACATGCCCGCAACCAAGCCCGGAGCCCGCAGAAATGTCGGAGGTCGGCGCGATGACGCTGGTGACGCGGGAGCGGCCGCGGCGAGCGTTTACTATTGAAGCGCTTCTTGAGCCGGAGCCACCGCGAGGGCCGGTGCTGACGCTACACGCGATGCCTGCGCTGCCCGCTCTCGCCTCGCCGTATGCGCTGGCGGCGCAGCGGTACCATGCCCAGCTGCTGCAGGCGGCGGCGGCAGCGGCGCTTCGACCCTGTTACCTGCCACCTCCGCCGCTGCCGGTGGCGTGACCCGCCGCGCTCTCCGCTCCCATTTCTTGTGCAATGCTAGATTGTAAGTACCGAACACTTTAAACTCTCTACTCATCCCTGTCAACTCTGTTTACGCTCCGTGTGGATGATTGTTAGGATAAAAGTACTGAATATAAATAGTTAGATGATTAAGTTGATCAGTGTTGAGAGCAGTCGTAATATTAGTGCGCGAGCCGGCCTCGAAACGCAAGCGTGGCGACGGGCGAGGCGTAAATAGAGTTAATTTCAAAGTAAATGGGCCGTCGCATCGCGCTGCCGTCGCCCGGTGCCTGGCGCATTGCACTTTGATGCCTACAAATATTCCTCAATAGAATAAAATAGTGATCTCACGTAGATTCGTAGCTGACGATCGACTTGGACATTATTTATTTATATTTTTAAAGCATGAAACGTTTTATTTTTTCGTAATGTTCCTGTAATATGATTAGTGTCTTGATATACTTTTAGTGATAAAACGACAGTATGAATATATTAATTAAAATCGTTTAAACATTATTTAAGCGGTAAATTCCTTGCGAATGTTTTAAGACATGATTGTTATTTATTTTTATAAATTAAGATTTCGTTTTATTGTTAATTACTATGTGTAGATAATAGAATTCACTATTGTAAATATTGTTTTCATTGTTATAATTTCTATTAGATATATTAAATGGATTAATTATTATTAAGAATTGGTTTTATTAATCTAAGTAACCCAACGGTTAATCGCTAAATTGAATTTTAAAAATGAATAATTATTAGGAAAGGAATACTGTATAGGGGTATATACCCACATGTATACATACCTAACCATTTCAATCATTTTCAATCACTATTCTTTATTGATTTTAATGTTATTCTATACAACAGTTGGATTGTTTTTTATTAGAGTTAATCAGTTATTGGACTTGTTTCAATAACGTTTTAAAAGTGCTTTGTATTTTAGTTTTACAAGCTTTCGGCCACGACTCCTAGCGCTCGAAATTAAAAAAAATGCTTAGTAAGTAGTCTTTGTGTTACTCCAGACTATGTTCTACATCTGTACCAAAATTCATCGAGATCCGTTCAGCCGTTTAGGCTACAAACTCTAACGAACATCCATCCATCCAAACTTTCGCATTTATTATTAGTAAGTAAGAATAGAACAAACATTATACTTGCAAATTTATTGACAATCTAGTCCTGAAAAATTTTAAATAATCAGAAGTCGGTACTTTTTTACATTAGAAATGATTGTAGATTTATTTACATTTTGTAATACTTTAAATAGATTTCACACTTCATTCTCTTACCATCTTCAAACTTACCACTTCACTAAAAATCTATTCGTATTTACAACTATTCTTTTTAAGTAAAACTTGTAGGCTACTACTTATAGGCTATTATCATTTCATCCTCTCAACCACTTTTAACTTACGATCTAAAACTCATGAATTTTAACTTATTCCTAACTTACGTGTTATAGCTTTAAGAGAGCTTTCGACTATTTTTGACATATAACAGCACTGTTATTTGAAATACTTAAGAAAACATACATATTTAGGCCCCTTTTGGCATACTAGTAATTACTCATAATTTTAAGAAAATAATTAAGGAACCAAGCTATACTTAGCTTAGTACAGCTAGATGTAGTTTATAAGCTATCGTAGGAGTAAACGGAGAGGTTTAAATTGGTACCTAATGCTTGGTGTAACAACAATATACCTATCTCATTTTTTCCAAAAAGAACAAAAGAGACATCAAAAATTTGTGTGAATGGCAATCGAATCTCACGTTTATGTTAACACAAACATGAACAAATGAAGACTTGAAGATATTTATTAATAGCAGACGTGTTTGGTCTATAATATTCAAAACTTCGTTTATTACGCTGCAGGTGTAGTTCTTAAATTAAATTGCATATATCATCTATTTCTCACATTGCGAGATTTCGTAGTCCTGGACCGACGTGGGGGGGCGCCGGCAAGGTGGAAACAAAAAGTGGTCGTCGAGGTGGGCCGTTTCACGCTGTAACGCGGCGCATCGGAGCCCATTTGTGGCCTAATAGATCGTGATATTGCCCGTTTTGGGCAATTGCCGACTCATCCAACCTCCTTATTGGATTGAGAGTGCCGGAGAGAATTTCTGGAATTTTGACCAAAGTCGATGCTTCCGTTTTGATCGTTACAAAATTTTAAATAGATACCTACAATGTTTTACTGTAGTTGAGTTTGTAATATTAGTTACTGGTATAGTCCGACAAACTCATTTGACCCGTTGGCCAAAACTGAAATTATAGTCGCTTAGTCTTACCTTGTTTTGTGTGTCATTTTCTTACCCTGTGTTAGTCTAAGCACATTTTAACTATCTGCGAAAACAGCGGCACGAACGGTCAGCTAAGGATTATTAATTAATAACAACGAAACATGAATAATATTCTTAAATTATTCCAATACATACATAGAATTATTTCCGCAAACGTTGCATTATTGTAAACGAAAAACGTATTAACAATTTACAAGGACAATCGAAGATATTGTTAAAATACTTACCTTAATAGCTTTCCTTATTAAGTGTATATACTAATATACGTTATTAAAATACTAATAAAGTTTTTATTTTCGTTTAATTTTAATTTACTTTGTAAGCGGAAATTGTAAAATAACAATTAAATAAATGAAGGTATGACTGCGTAAAATATTTATTATAAACAAATAATTACCTATATGGTTTTTTTTAAATCTCTCTAACTTTTGTATCAATTACATTTATTCAACAAAATTAAATTATTCAATAACTAAAGAAAAAAATAATTTTAGTTAGGATTTTTAACTTAAGGACTACGGATGTAAATTGTAAATGTAAAAAATAAAATGTTTCTCGTTAAGTGAATTGTATATTCTTAAGAGAAAATAAATATCTTAAACCACAAGGACGAACGTCACAGATGAATACCTAATTAGTATCTATAAACAAAAATAATTATTCTTCAAATTGTTATTCAACGTGATAGTTTAAACCAATATCAAAACAATAGGCCGTACATTCTCATTATAGCGTTCCATACCTCATTTCTTTAGATTAACTTCTAACTTTTTTAACTAAAATAATGTGCAACAAATGACACGTTCCTAACAGCGCTACTGGACGTAAACACTATGATCTTGATGTAAACACTACTCTAGATTAACTTCTAACTTTTTTAAAACTGAAATAATACGCAAAACGCGTAGTTCCGTGGCGATGGGATCTAATGAAGGTAACGAGGTAATAGTACACCATTCAATGTTATCTTAAACACTTCCATGTCATAATTGACGTCGGTTGTTTTATTCTTTTCGCTTTACCAAGGCGTTTATTTCCCGATGAAAAAAGTTATCAGTCGTGCGTCTAGACGGTTGGTGAAAGTTTATAGTCTTTATTTATCTATTTTCGTTTGTTGTTTTAGGTATCGAATCATTCTTAGTGGCCAGTTGTTAGTTGTGCTATTTATTAGATTTTTATATCAAAATGAAATAGATATATTTGAGACTAGTTTTCATCTGCGACTACGTTTCGTGGAATTAAAAAAAAAACAAAAATAAGTAACCTATGTGTTCTTCCAGAGAATCCTCTACGTTATTGCCAAATTTGATCAAGTTTCGTTAAGCAGTTTAGGCTACAAATTCTAACAAACATCTATCCATCTAAACTTTCGCATTTATAATATTAGTAGACCTTATAAGCTATGAAATACATGAAAAATGCCACCGGTTTGCAATAACAGAATGATTGTTAGTACATTTAACAATTCAAAACAATAGAAATCATAAACAAGGTGAGAAGCGACACCGGCCGTCGACAATGGCCGTTCAATGTCGTTTTACGTATTGTTTGCTTTGAATTTATGTTTCGAATGTCCCCAGTGTACGGTAGTGTTTCCGTAATGTGCGAATTTGTTCCGACTCACTTAAAATAAACAAGTATTCGATATAGTGGTGGCTTTGTAGATGTTCTATGATAATCTAGAGATTTAATACAATCAGAATGTTTCAATCTAAAACACTGAATGTGAATAATTACTTAGTATATTTTTTATCCATAAATAAACTTGAAAACTACTCGCCTGTAAGAATTATCTTTCTTATAAAAAAAATAATTAGCAAAAACATGAATTAAAAATACAGTATTTACAACCTCTATAGAGAAGTCTGTTAAAAATATGAAATATCTTAGGTGAAAAATACATATTATATCAACATTCTGGCGCAGCTTGAGCCAGTTCAAACATATTCAGATTTTCCAAATGTCATTGTTTTATAAGGGGTGCAAATGATACAATAAATATTTGTAGAGGCAGCTGTTTGAAAAGGATTCGAACACGAAGTGAGGATAATAACCGACCCGCTCTTGGCTCTTGCCACTTCTGTTGATGTTTTCGTAATACAAAAACTGACAGAGTTCGCTAACCTATCATTTTGTTATTTATATCGAACACATTGCGTCTATCCTTTGAGTTTGTGTTCTCGTTTTTACAATAGCCCCGACGCCTCGGATCGTAATTATCTTTAGTAAAATGGCACCTCGTAATTGCATTTTAACACAATTTTATGCAGGTAAACATCGATGTTGATATCAGCCGTATTTAATTAGTTTTTGTAAATTACTTTTAAGGTAGCGAAGTTGCTAAATCTTGAAAAGCTAAAATAAAACTGGTCTATCTAATTCTGAAGACGTAACATAGTTATTTATTTACGATATTGGTACCTACTGTCAATATTATTAAATTAAAAAAATTAAAGAAGCTTGCACACAAAAAGAACATAATATTTTGATGAGTGATATTTATTAAAAAAAAATCTTACAGACGTTAAGCTTTAGTGACTATTTTAGAGCTTTTTGTATTTCACCTTTAATATTTAATTTAAGCTATTTATATATTTTAATTCGAGCATAAAATCGTCTTTTGTATGAATGAGGTCGGTTTTGTAATAAATAAATTAGTTATGCCTGTTTCGGCGAGCTTTGAGCTTTCGAGAGAAGACTCGGTCGTCACCAGACCGTCCGGCGTCCCGCGGTGTGGTTCCGGCGATTGTCTCGTCCCTTGTCCTTCTCCCCTCGTCCCTCGCCACCCTCAGAACCTTCGTTTCGCCGCCCCTCGCCCGTGAGCTTTGCTGCCCCACACTAAGTAATGTGTTCTAATTGATAATGCTCTTACCTAATGCGTTACCTTTATACAATTGGTATGGATTGTATTATATCTTAATTAATACTCGTTAAATTATGGGATCAGATTTTATATTTAACTACCTAAGTAAATTAAATAAAAAAGATCACTTAAAAATACTAAAGATTTATTAATTTACTTGCTTTCGCCGGCTACTCTGTCTTCCTAGAATTAAAAAAAAAACAAAAGTGAGTAGTCTATGTGTATATCAAGACTATTCTTTACGTCTATGCCAAATTTAATCAAGATCCGTTAAGTACTTTAGGCTACTAACTTTAACAAACTCCTATCCATCCACCTAAACTTTCGCATTTATAATATTAGTAAGATAATGTACTACAGCCTA